GGGGGGGGACATGTGCCACAGTGGCCTGGGGGACGTCCAGCGCCCCTGGGCACCATGCTCCTCTCCCCTCCCCTCTGCGGGAACCAAGGCCAGCGTGGGTGGCCAAATCTCCCCGGTAACAGGGTCTGTGCCACCCCCCCAGCCTCCTTCCCTAACCTGCAGCCCTTCCCCCCTCCCGCACCTGCTCCCCGGCCCCTCCCGCACCCCCCACTCCTGCCCCCTCCTTCCCAGGCTCTCCGGCTCTCCGTGTCACCATCTGTGGCACAATCCCTCTCTGTCACTCTGCCTGCCACCCCCTCCTTCTCTTTCCTCCTTCCTCGCTCTCCATCCCTGCCTCTCTCCGCGGCTCCTCTCGCCCCTTCTCTCCTCTCTGCCACGCATTTCACATCAGTCTCCCTCATTCTGGCTTTCCACCCACTCGCTGTCTTCTCCCTCTCCCTCTCTCTCCACCTCCGACCGACCCCCCTCTCCCCTCTCTTTCCATTGGCTTCCCACAGTCCCCGCTCCCCTTTGCTTTTCCTTGGGAGCATCTCCGTCCACCCCCACCCTGCGCTCCTGTCCGCAGAACGCCCCCCCCCCGGGCCCCTACCCTCCCCCCCCTCCAGGACGTGTCCTGGAGGATGGGGGGGTGACGCACAAGGCACCCGTGGGAAGTCAGGGCCGGAGAGCAGATGGGAGAGGCTCTGTGGGCCGCCGCGGGCCTAGGGGGGGGGATCGGGCCGGAAGCCCTCTGGAAGTGGGCACCGTGTGGGGACCCCAGCTAAGGGCGCTCTGGGCGCTTGGGGACTGGGCAGGGACAGGGGGCAGCAGGATGGCGGCAAGCAGGGAAACCCTCACCCCGTGGGCAGGTAAGGAGGCTGGGGCCAGGGTGGGGTCCCAGAGGGTGGGGTGCCGGAGGAGCCCACCCTCTGCCCAGGATGAACTTGGGAGGCTGGCGCTGGGGGCTGGGAGGCCCGGGGAGGAAGGAGGCCTTCCTGTGACCTGCTGGTGGGCTGCGGAGGGAGGGGCCAAGTCCATCTGGGATTCTCGTGCCAGAGGGTTCTAGAATACTGGAACCGCACCACAGCAGCGTGTCGGAGCTAGAAGAAATCAGAGGCATCATATGGGTTGGCCTCCTTGGCTCACATGCCAGCTCGTCCGAGCTCCCCCTCCACGCCGGGCACGGTGCTCGGCAGGCTCCTGCTTACTCTTTACAACAATTCTGGCAGGTGGGTCTACCCGTCTACATTCGAATTGGAGGTCACCGAGTCCAGAGACGGGCAGTGACTTGCCCAAGTTCACCCAGTAATTTGGTGTCATCGTTCTGTGGCCGAGACCGAGCCCCCAAGCCGGGGCATGTGGGGCGTGCTCCTGGGGGTCAGACCCCCGGCCCAGAATGGGAGCGAGGTAGTCGGCACTGATTAGCACAGTCCGGGTCTTCTGGGGGAAGGCCCGGGTTGCAGAGGGCAAGCACAAGGCGGTTGGCCAGGGGCATCGGCCTGTGACATTCAGGGCTGTCCTGGTCCTTGGGTCCCCTCAGCCTGGGCTCTTCAGGGAAGCCGGCAGGGCCAGGAGGGATGGATGGTTCAGGTGTAGACAAAACTGGGTTTTGACTCCGGTCTTCCACCCACCAGCTAGGTGAACTTGTGCAAAGTACCAAACTTCTCAGAGACTCAATGTCCTCCCCTTTAAAACTCCTCCCTCCTGGGCCTTGTGAGAATTTCACGACGCGGGTCTGTGCCTGGGAGCAACACCCCACTTTGCTGAACCACTCGGTCTGCTCACGTTGCGCAGCGCTCGGTGCTATGTCCGGGGCGGGGGCTGAAGAAACAAGTAACTCAGGGTCCCTGCAGCCCAGAGCCAGCAGGGGAAGTGGACGGGGGCAGCCAAAGGGGAGGTGACTGAGGTACCTGGCATCTCTGAGAGACTCTCCTGAATTGCTGTGTGGCTCAGAGCAGCCACTCGCCCTCTCTGGGCTTCTGTCCGTTTCCTCCTAGAACAATTCTCTGAGGAGTCCGCCCCCAGCTTTGAGGCAGGCTTGTGCCAAAGATAAAACAGACAAGTCCCTCCTCCGAGGAAGACCCAGATGGGGCAAAGGATTCCAGCTCCTTAAAGTAAAGGCGGCACCTAAATCGTAGGTGCAGAAAGCTGTAATTTTCCTGCTTCTCGTTCCCAGCCTCTTAAACTTTGACAGGGAAGATGGGCCCAGGTGACGGGGTAGGCAGAGGGTTTTCCAGGGGCAGGTAGGGGCTGTGGGAGGGGCTATTGCATCCCCCTCACTCCCCCAGGACAAAGGCAGGGCCTGGCTGGGTGTGCCGTGTTTCCACCAGGGCCGTGTGTGTTAGCACATGGGCGTGTGTGTGGGCGCACACGTGTGTGCCGGAGCAGAAGGGGGGAGGGGTGTCCTCAGAGCTCACCTCCAGGCTTCCCTGAGGGCCTCTGTCCCTGCAGCCTGGAAATTAGGTTTGCCCAGCTCCCTGCTCGTCTCTCAGGAGCCTGGCACTTTCCTGCCTCCTCCAGCCCCAGGCTGTGATTGGCTGTCCCGCGAGGATGCTGTAAAGAAGACGTGCGCAGGGCGGCGAGGTGGATGGATGGGTGACATAGGGCCCCCGGGCTGAGGAAGCCACAACTCCGAAGTCTCAGACGCCACCGTTGCAAGTTGGACAAGGGCTGCTCCTGACACTCAGAAATTCTGACATTCTGATTCGAGGATGCGGAATCTAAAAACCTGTGACTCTGCAACTCAGTTCTAAGAATCTAAAATTCTATTTTTAGGACCCCAAGATTCCGGGGGGGGGTGAGCCCATGATCCTAATAGTTCAAGAGCCCGAAGAGCAGTGAGGGAAGCTCTAAATAGACCGGTGGGAGTGCGGAATGCCAGCTGGTGCCTCCCCAAGGCTTAGCCTCAGTCTGCCAGTCTGTGAAATGGAGGTGTGTGCATGTGTGTGTGTGTACGAGGACGACCTTAAGGGTCCTCCCAGTTCTGCCCCTTCTTAGCTGTGTGCCCAGGGCTGTGTGGCCTCACCTCTGCGCCCTGTCTAATGGTGGGGACAACACTAGTCCTTCCCCCAGAAGCCCCCTACGATGCTGTCACCAGCGTAGCCTGGAACCTGGCAGCTGGGGTCAATGACAAGGAGCAGACAGCGCGGTTAGGATCCTATGAACCCAATGTCCAGATAGCCTCTCCCTTAATGCCATCCTGTCCCAGAGACAGGAGAGCTGATGGGGTCCTGGGGTGGTGATGGGGCAACCCCGGGGTTGGAGGAGCAGGGAGGGGTGCTCTGAGCCTAACCAGCCTGGGGCGACAATCAGGAGGAGCCATGGTCAAGGGGTTCCTTGTTATTCTAGGCAGTGCCTGGCCTGGCGCTCAGAGAGCCTCTGGAAACCTCAGGTCCTTGGGTGCGGCGACCAGGCACCCACCACCCAGAGCCATTTATTCCCAGTTGGGGTGCTTCCCTTTTTCAGAAGCTTCGCATCTTTTTTTTTTTTTTTATAAATATTCATTTATTTTTGAGAGACAGAGACAGAGTGTGAGCAGGGGAGGGGCAGAGAGAGAAGGAGACACAGAATCTGAAGCAGGCTCCAGGCTCTGAGCTGCCAGCACAGAGCCTGACGCGGGGCTCGAACCCACGAACCGTGAGATCATGACCTGAGCTGAAGTCGGACGCCCAACCGACTGAGCTGCCCAGGAGCCCCGAGGTGTTGACATTCTTGTACCTCCCCTCCAAGGTGCTGTGAATTTCTCACCATGGCGGCGGAGAGAAGGGGGCCCACATGCCCCCCGCCCAGGTTCACAGCTGGCATCCCAGGCAGGGCCTTTGTGGGAGCGCAGTGGGATGGGCCAGGCTTGGGTGGTTCCCCGAGCACTCCGGTTCCGGGACAGAGCACATCAATCACTGTGCCCGTGGTTCCTCACTCCATTCAGAAGCCAAGGAATCTGATAAGAGCTCTGGGCTCTGCCCGGAAGTGCACTAACTTTCGCCAGAGTTTTTGGGATTCATGGATTTTCTGAAGCTCATCGAGAGACTCAGGTTCAAGGTCTCTGTGATATGCAGCGCCGTTTTTCAAATGTGAGGGCTGACATCTGCAGATGGCTGTCTTAGTCTATTCTGGCTGCTATAACAGACTTCCAGGGCCTTATAAACAGGGGGGCTTCCAAACAACATTTTCTTCTCCCCGTTCTGGAGGCTGGAAGACCAAGTTCAAGGTGCTGGCAGATTCTATGTCTGGCAGTGCCTCTGCTTCCTGGTTAGTGGTTAGTCCTCTCCTTGCTGTGTCCTCACACGGCAGGAGTGAGGGGACTCTCTGGGGTCCTTGATGACACAGATCCCATTCATCAGGGCTCCACCCTGAAGACCCAATCACCTCCCAAGGCCACACCTCCTAATACCATTCTGGGGGTAGGCTTTCAACATACGAATTCGGGAGAGGGGGACACATTCGGTCTATCGCAGCAGGTGATCCACTTGGGTTTCTGCTAGTCGAGGCAGCCTATATAGAAAGGGTGAGTATTGCTTTATGAAACAACATGACCTCACTGAGCGGCAATGGAAAATGCACCAGCGTCAGAGACATCTGATAAACGCTGGCATGGAAGGAAGGGCCTGTGTTGCCCTGGGCCAACTGAACGATCCATTCGCTCCTCTATGAGACATCTGTTAGACTCTGTTAGGTGCACAAGTGCAAGGGGAAGGGGACACTGTGATGCATAAGCCAAGACAGGTCCTTGCCCTTGGAAGCCAAGCGAGCCCCCCTCCCACGCTGCACCCTAGCCACGCAATAGACCTCTCCCCTATCAGACTCAGCCTCCTCACCTGAGAAGTGGGGACACCTTGCTGGCTTGAGCAGCATAGAAGAGCTGGCGCATGTCAAACTCTGGCCGGGCGCACCCTGAGTCTCCAAGTTCAGTGTGATGGGGGAGGGGCGGTGGAGAGAAAGCCATCACCCACCATCACCCGGCTGTGTCCATGTCCTTCCTCCTCTAGGCTGGTAGCTGACCGCTGACCACCCTCCCCTCGGCCATGGATACCCCTGGCTATCTTTCATCGGCGCCCACCACCTTGGAACCTGGGAACAGCTCCATGGCCTGGCCCCTGGACGTCACCCTGGGAAACGTGTCAGCGGCCCCAAGTGGGGCGGGGCTGGCTGTCCGCGGCGTTCTGATCCCACTGGTCTACCTGGTGGTGTGCGTGGTGGGCCTGCTGGGGAACTCGCTGGTCATCTACGTGGTCCTGAGGCACACGGCCAGCCCGTCGGTCACCAACGTCTACATCCTCAACCTGGCGCTGGCCGACGAGCTCTTCATGCTGGGGCTGCCCTTCCTGGCGGCCCAGAACGCCCTGTCCTACTGGCCCTTCGGCTCTCTCATGTGCCGCCTGGTCATGGCCGTGGACGGCATCAACCAGTTCACCAGCATCTTCTGCCTCACGGTCATGAGCGTGGACCGCTACCTGGCGGTGGTGCATCCCACCCGCTCCGCCCGCTGGCGCACGGCCCCGGTGGCTCGCACGGTGAGCGTGGCCGTCTGGGTGGCCTCCGCCGTGGTGGTGCTGCCCGTGGTGGTCTTCTCGGGGGTGCCCCACGGCATGAGCACCTGCCACATGCAGTGGCCCGAGCCGGCGGCCGCCTGGCGTGCAGCCTTCATCATCTACACGGCCGCGCTGGGCTTCTTTGGGCCGCTGCTGGTCATCTGCCTCTGCTACCTGCTCATCGTGGTCAAGGTGCGCTCGGCCGGGCGGCGGGTGCGGGCACCCTCGTGCCAGCGGCGGCGGCACTCGGAGCGCAGGGTCACGCGCATGGTGGTGGCCGTCGTGGCACTCTTCGTCCTCTGCTGGATGCCCTTCTACGTGCTCAACATCGTCAACGTGGTGTGGCCCCTGCCCGAAGAGCCCGCCTTCTTCGGTCTCTACTTCCTGGTGGTGGCGCTGCCCTATGCCAACAGCTGTGCCAACCCCATCCTCTACGGCTTCCTCTCCTACCGCTTCAAGGAAGGCTTCCGCAGGGTCCTGCTGCGGCCTTCCCGCCGCGTGCGCAGCCAGGAACCTTCCACTGGGCCTCCGGAGAAGGCCGAGGAGGATGAGGGGGAAGAAGACAGGGAGGAAGATGGGGAGGAGGGGCCCTCGGAGCAGGGGCAGCAGAAGGAGACGAATGGCCGGGTCAGCCTCATCACACAGCCTGGCAGCAGCAGGCAGCAGCGGCCGCCCAGCGGCTCGGCCAGTAAGCAGAAGCAGTTCCTGCCCCAGGAGCCCGCAGCTGGGGGCAAGTCGGGCGCGCTGCACATCAGCTATCTGTAGGGGCCTGCGGGACTCCAGCGTGGTCCAAGCACGGGGGCGCGGAGGCTGTGGGTGCCCCGGTTCCGTGATGGGGCGCGTGGAGGCCTGGGCTCTGATCCCGTTGCTGCTGAGACCTGCTGTGTGACCTTGCTTCCCTTCTTTGGGCTTTGTGTTCTTTTTGGTGACTCAGGGATAGGAAGGCTGAGCCTGGACCACAGCTCTGCTGCGCGAGAGGTCGGGAGGGGCGTCGCCGCTGGCTGACCTTCCTGAGCAGGGCCCAGGCTCATGGGACAGTTGCGCGCTGACCTTCCCCCTCAAACACAGTTTCCAGGCAGCCCGGCCTGAATCTCGGTCGTTGGAGGGGCAGACTCTGGCTCAGAGTCAGGCTCACGGGAGAGGGAATGGGGCCCCAAAGAGAAGACAGTCTTGCCCAGCGCAGGGAGGGGTACACAACTCCTGAGGCCCCGCATCGGCATTCCTCCACCTGCTGCAAGGCCTCGGGGAGCTGTTCCCCGCTCTGGGCCCCGGGTCTCGCTCACTGATCAACCCAGTAACCTCCAGGTCCTCTCGGCACAGGTGGCCAGTGCCGCGACTTCTGTGCTCCTGGATATGAAAGGAGGCAGATTTTCCCGGAAAGTCAGTGAGTCCAGCTTCAGGGTCGCTTACCATCTGGGCCCTTCCAAGGCCCCGTATCTTATTTTGTACTTGTAGTTTTATATTCTTTTTCATAAGAAGGGACTCCAAACTGCATAAATTTAGGCCACATAAGCCTCGCTCGGCCCCCGGGTGGGGGGAGCGGACCAATTCCCAAAGCAGCTCACTCTGTGTCCTGTGGCTGGAGTCGGAGTGTCTGTGGGTGTCCGAGGGCCCCGGGGAACCTCCTCTAAGCAGCCCCCAGTGGCGTTCCTCCCCTCCCAGAGACCAAGGCAGGGTCCGGGCCGGGCAGACTGGCTGGGAAAAGCAGTGTCTCGACTACATGGTGAAGGGAAGGAGGAAGAAGAGGAGGGGGAGGAGGAAGAGGGAGGAGAAAGAAGAGAGGAAGAAGGAGGAGGTGGGTGGAGGACGGATCTGCTCCATGACCTTGGAGCTATCCTGGGCCCCTCTGGGCTGAGCTCAGGTGCAGGCCTGCCAAAAGCAGGTTGTGGATGCCTGGCTGGATCCATCTCAAGGCAACTAGGCAATCGGGATGGGAAAGCAAATGGTCTGGAAGGCACAGCGCTGGCTCCCGGGGGGGTCTGTCTGTGCTGGTAAGAGGGGCATGGCCTTGATGGAAGCCTAGGGACAGAGCTGAGAAGCAGGCAGCAGGCCTCCACCCCCCTTTTATCTATTCTCTGGGGTTACAGTTTGAGGAGGTCCAGGGAAGACAAGACAGTGGGAGCCCCATGCAAGGACTCTCTCAGAGATAACCCTTTAGAGCCACCCGAGGCTGGCCCTGGGGAGGGCAGTACCTCAGGCTAAATCCCTCAATCCCCCCCCCCCAGAGGGCAGGGGCTCCTCAGGGAAAGTACGTGAACCACACATTGGGGAGATCTAGGTCTTCAACCCACCTCAGGATCCCACCACGCCTTGACAGCGCCGGGCCTCTGTTTCTCAATCCTAAAATGGAGCTTGCCCCAGCTTGCCTACCTGCTCAGATTTGGGGAAGAAAATAAGACATGGTGGGCACGCTGCCGTACACACTGCAACAGGTGGGGGTGGGTGCGTCCGATTATAAAGTGGAAAGAGTCCCCATGCCATGCCAAGCTTGGCCTACAGCTGCTCCTTCATCAAGCGGCCTCTCTGTCTCTGGCTCTTGGAGGTAAGAATTCTGTGCAGCCCAAGACAGAGGAAGGGGAGAGTCAGAACCCGAAGACAGGGCTTGGGAAACGCGGCCCCCTCAGGTGGTCACCAAACCAGACTTTGTATGGATGTTGGAGCTGGAGGTCTGGCTACCAGTCTGGGATTTCCCTTGATGACGATCCAGGGGTCTGAGTGAACAAGGGCCCCCAGCATTTCAGCATTCCCTGGCCGGCGCTGCCTTCCTGATTCCTGGGCCAGGTGGGTCTGTTCTGCAAAAGCGTGGCCAGAAGGCCCCTTAGGGAAATCCTTTGGCGCTCCTGTCCCTAGCTCTTGTCAATAAAAACAGTGACACACGAATGACAACAGCTGTGACCTGGGCCAATTCCTCTGCCAGGTGCTGTGTGTCTAGATTGGTGTGCATGGATGGGTGTGTGTGTGTGTGTGTGTGTGTGTGTGTGTGTGAGATGCCCCTCCCTCTATCTGGCTCTCAGCTCTGTACGCCCAAGTCTTTGTGTATGGCTTCCCAGAGTCCAGGTCCTCCAGGGGACATGGGAAATGTCCCCAGACAAGCCTCAGCCTACATCCTTCTAGATCGTGATCCAAAAGCAGTAGATACTTTCTTTTCCTGGTGCCCGAATAGCAAATCTCATGGAAGAATTTGATTGGCTTCAACTAGTTCACATGATAGCCCCTTGGGCCAATTCCCAAAGACAAGGTGATAGAGTGCCCTGATTGGCTGGGTGTGGGTCACGTGGAAGATCTTTCCCACCAGAGAGAAAGCGGGGCTCTGTGATGGACAGTCTGGCCTGACCCTTGGGGGAGGGGGTGGGTCGGGGACTGCCAAGGGCAGGAGAGCAGGGCCAGGCAGCAACAAACACACTGTGTGTGTTTGTGAGCACAGTACAGGTGCCTAGTAGGGCATCTCAGCCACATCCTCAAGTGATCATGCCTTGGGGTGTTAACACCAAGGGTCTACTCTGCCCCAGGCGGGTGTGTGTGAAATGGGAGCCTAGGGGAGGGGCTTCGAGGGACTAAGGGTTCCGGGCCAGGATTCCCCTGTGGGTCCCAGAGCCCCTGAGGCCCCTCCACAACTGGCAACACCATGTGCCACTGCCCGTGCTCGCTCACAGGTGTGTGTGTGTGTGTGTGTGTGTGTGCGCGCGTGCCGCGGGCCTTGTCTCTCTGGGCATGGGCTGTGTTGCCGGATCAGGTAAATATGAATACTTGGAACCAATGAATGAATAGGTGAATTCCATTTCCCAAGCGCCCGGGGGCAATTTTCACGCTGTGACTCTCGCCTTCTTTGCATGTGTGCCACGAAGTGACCCTGAATGAATGCGGGGAGGGCCAGGGGGCTGGAAGGGGCTTGGGTAAGGGGTTGGGCCTGGAATCCCGGGGTTACTGGAAAGGCGGGGGTGTAGGGTGAGGACAGACGGGGGTTGTGAGCCTGAGCGGGCAGGAAAGGGTGGGGATGACATTCTCCCTGCCTGGTGCCTCCTCTCCAGTCAAGTTGCTCAGACCCAAGGCCTTACTTTAAACTTGTCTCTCAGAGGCGGTTGCCAGGCAACAGCCCACGGCCACCAGTCTCCGGACAGGGACTTCATGCATCAGCATCAGCATAGGCATCGGCATCAGCGGAGAGGATCTGGGAGTCTGCAGGGCCTGGAGTAGGGAAGTCGAGGCCTCAGGGCTTCAGGTAGCCCTCGCCTTCAAGGGATGGGAGAGGTGGAGGCCACTGTCCCGTGGGGAGGTGACAGCTGGGCTCCACAGGACTCTAAACTCAGAAGGACATATTCTAACAGTGGCAAGAGCCCCAGGCTGGGATGTGACGCCATTCCCTGGAGTAGTTCAAGGTCACGGTCCTGCCAAGGCTTTGCAGTGCCCCGTGTCACTGGCAGCCCCTGGTGACATTCTCAGGGATGCCACTAGAAGGCTGTGGGGGACAGGCATAGCCTAACAGTTAGGGGACCCAGGCCCAAATGTGCAGCATTGGGCCATTTGCTTCACCTCTCTGGGCCGGATTCCTGCAGTTAACGAAGATTTTTCCTGAGCACCGCCAGTCTGCGAAGCCCTGACGCTGGACTGAAGGCCCAGTGGAGGAAGACAGACCATCTCCGTGCTCGTGGTGATCGTGGGGAGCCGCACAAGTGCGTGTATCACTATCGAGTCCCCGAGGAGGCATGATGGGGGAGGGGCCGGCTGAGGGGCTGAGCCTGGAGCAGAGGGTGAGCCCAGTGCCTGGCAGACGGAGCTGCTGCGCTAAGGCCCTGAAGCTGGGGAGCTGCAGTGAATAAAAGGAAGAAAGGCAGAAAGACAGGGGTAAGGCCCAACCGAGGGACAGAAGGGGTGTCAGACGGGACGGGTGAGTTATCTCCCGGCCAGGCCAGATTCCCATTCAAGTCCTTAACCTCCAAGTGCCTCTGGATGTGACCTTATTCGGAAGTAAGTTCCTTTCAGATGCAAGGAGTTAAGATGAGGTCCTGTTGAGGTAGGTGCGCCCCTCCCCCCATCCTGGTATTCTTAAGCGAAGGAGAGATCTGGACAGACAGGGGTACAGGGAAAATGCCTGGTGATGCTTCTACAAGCCACAGAAGACCAAAGGTTGCCAGCCAGCCCCCAGGAGCTGCGCGAGAGGCCCCCCAGAGCCCTCGGAAGGAAGCCACCGTGCCGACTCTTTGATCTCAGACTCGCAGACTCCCAAACCGGGAGAAAAGGAATTTCTGCTGGAAGCCACCTAGTTTGTGGTACTCGGGCTGTGGGCTGCGGCAGCCCCAGCGCACGGCTGGCAGTTCCCCCACCTGCAAGACAGAGATAATGGCCCCTTTTCTGCAGGATCTCCGGGGGTGGGGGCGGGCGTGGGACCGCCGTTCTTTCACTCTTTCATTCAGTGAGTGTTTATTAGGCAACTGCCGTCTGCAAAAGGCTGAAGGCAGAGAAGTACAAGCCTGTCTTTCAGGAGGGGGAAGATCCAGTAGAGATAAGAGATGAAGAAGTCAGTTCTGAAGCACATGAACTCTGGAGATGCCTGGGTTTGAAGCCCGGCTCCTCTATTCACTCGCCGTTTGACCTTGAGCCCCTCGCTTAACCTTCCTGTGCCTCTGTTTCCTCCACTCTGAGATCAGGGGGAGAGCCGATTTCTCTACCGTTAGGAGGTTTAAATGAGCTAATATTTATAAACAGTTTAGACTCATGCCTGATGCGTTAGGTGCTGTGCTAAGTAATCAGCAGGAGTGCTTTAACAGAAGAGAGTCCCTCCAGGGCCCGCCCGGAGGGTGGAAGTCTCCTGGGGAGGGACTGGGGCTCAGCTGAGTGTAAAGAGGAACCTGAAGTTGATGCCCAGGGAAGGAGGCCCAG